AATCTTCTATTATTGTACAGTATGCAATGGACAGCCAGTGCTAGCAGACACCATTCACTGTACAGATGCAGTAGTTTGGTGATGAACCCTGACACAGACAGCATATTCAACCTATCAGCCCTGAGCAGGACCAAGAGACGGCACACTTCTCACAAACAACTATGACATGGTCACGTCTCTACCTACAAAATCAAAATTTCCCACAACTATGGCTCTTTTCAACCAATGAGGGGGTGCTTCTGCTGAAGGTGGATATAGTCTGTGTCCCCTTGCTGGCGTGCAGTCTCTGGATTTGTGTCCAACTGAAATCTTAGATTCAAAATTAAGTGCTTTGTCACAGCTGTAAGTAGACACGATGTCAAGACAGTAATACACAATGTTGCATTTAGTGACCAAATTTAGTGACCTAAAAATTGCTTTCCTTCTGGCATTTTTTCTTCTAAATTTGACATTTCATTGTGTGAAGTCCATCAGAAATGATCTTCTTGACAGACTCGTACCAGACCCTACAAAGTTCTAACAGTTACTAGGAGAAACGATCCATCTCCTCTTTTCTCTGATTCATCTCTCATTCCATTACCTTGGTATCCTGCTGCACAGGTGCAGCTGAACCCATTAAGTTCATCCACACAGGTCCCTCCATTGAAACAAGAATCTTGTTGGCAGTCAATCACATCAGTCTGACAGTGTTCTCCGGTCAGACCTGCTGGGCATTCACAGAGGAAGGACTGTAGTAGCTCCATACAGGTTCCACCATTCAGACAGGAAGTAGCGGAGCAGAAGGTTCGCACTGAGAAGGCAGAGAAATCCGACAAATGATGTATAACGAATTTAGAAACTGACAAGCAAATAGTCTGAATTTGTCTGAGATTGGGCACAACATTTTGGAACCTTAAATACTCATTGACTTTTATGTGACGTTCTAGATCGGACTACATTTAAGGCAAAGAATGCAATTGACATGTTCAAATGCACAGTGCCATCTTACTGATGTCATTTCCTTGAAT